AAATTTCCTAGAGTTAGGTTTCCTATATGTCTTGTTAAAAGTTTTGTCAAAAAAAAATTGTTAAACACTAATTCCTATTAGGTTTCTTTGAGTCTTGTGTGTGGCTGAAACTTATATCAATTTTTAAAGCATCAAAACAGAGACAAAACAGAGGTGTATGTGTTCTTATTGCATGAGAAAAACAAAAGAAAATAGTGCCTAAAAATTTGACCTAAAAATACTACAAAATTGTGAAGCACTAGTTAGAATATGCATGTGAACACCTCTTGTTTTGTGAAAGTATTTTGGAAGCAGTTTTATTAGTTAAATCCGAGACATACACTTGATTAAAAGGCATTAGACTCCTGTGTTAACAAAAAAAAAGAAAGAACAAAAGAATTACAAAAGAAATCAAAAGAAAAGAACACAAGAAAAAGCCAAGGAGTGAAAAATTTTAGTGAAATATTGCTCTTGGTTTTGGTAAAATTTTGTGTGCCTTGTCTTCATTTTTCTGTCCAGCCACATATACATTTTTTGAGTCTTATTTTACTTTATAATCTCAGCTTTTATTTTATGATCTATTCTAGTACCATTGTTAGGTTTGGATACTTCTAGGTGTTTAGAACTCCAAGCCAAAATTCCAATGGAGACTAATCTCTAGATCACCTCCAAAAGCCTTCAAACTTTGACTTCCTTTGAACTTGGCCTTCCACACCTTCAAGAAGCACTCAACACACCTTAAGTTGCTGGAAATTGCTGACAGTAGAGCTCGAATCCACACACATACTTACTGGAGAAAATCTTAAGTCTTCCTCCTTAACTAATTGGGCAAACTACCCACTGGTTCTTTTTGATCAATTTTTAATACATCACAATGCATTTCCTTGCTTTTTTCTCTATCAAATAGAATACGTGACTGTTTTAACGGGGTTCTTTTTATTCGCACATTTATTTTAAAGTTTCATGTTGAAATAAAATTCCAACACAAATTAACATATTTTATAACTAATATCTGGTTTTAAACTTGATATGAAAATATTATGATATAACTTGATAAGATTTTAATAAATTAGTATTTTATTAATGGTTGATAATTAGAAAATAAAACAAGGATAAATACATTTTTTGAATTTTATATCTTAGATTTAAGATGAATAAATATATTAAGTTAATTAATAATTTATTTAAAATGTTAAAATTTAATTTATAAAAATAATATTTTAAAAGAAAAGTGTTATAATAACACAAGTGTAATGTTTACTAAGTATTACATCGCTCAATAACTTTATATTAAATGTGAATTTTATAAATTCAACCGTTAGATTGAAAGTTTTTTACTCTTAGATCATATATACAAAATTTTATATAAATTCAAGATGATTTGATACTTCATTCTTGTAAAACAAAATTGACGTAATATATACATTTCAAAATATACTAAAATATGAACACTTTGATTACCTTCAAGTTGTTGTTCAATTTTAACAAAACTTGATATAAACATATAAAGTGATATGAACTTTCAATTTAACGGTTGGATTTACAAAATTCACATTTAATATAAATTTATTGAACAATGTAATACTTAGTAAAAGTTATATAGTGTTATTATAACCCTTCTCATTTTAAAATATAAAAATTATTATTTAAACTTTTAAATTTATAATATATAATTTAAATTGTATCATAATATTAATTTTAAATAGAAATAAGTAGATTGTTAATTATAAAAGTAAGTATATATAAATAAAGATTAATTAAATATAATACAGTTATTATTATTGGTAAGATAATTATTAAATATATTATTATATTTTTATAACGGTTCGGATACACCGAAATGAGAGGGATCCAAAGATAGTATAAGTATGAGATTGTATATTTGAGGATGACTTAAATGAATTAATTTGTATTACCTATACTGACAATATGCATATGCCTTTTTGTAACTTATCTCATAAGAACTCCACACTTAAGCGTGCTTGACTTGGAGTAATATAAAGATGAGTGACCTTCTGGGTAGTTTCCCAAAAATTGTGTAGTTAAGGACAAAACATGCTCAAAAGTGAAGTATTGTGAAATAGAATCCTTAAGACGCCAAATATGAGTATTTCGTAGCGATCGAATTTGCAACGTCTATAAAATTTTATAAAATAAAAAATAAATCTTTAGCGATCGATTTATTCGGTCACTAATTTGGTCCTCATACACATCAGCGACCAAAATCATTGCAATCATTGCTAAATAGCGACCAAAATTTTCGGTCGCTAAACCAAAATTTTCTCTGAAATTTTTTTGGTCACTATATAACTTTGCGACTAGAGTTTTTGCGACTACTTAAATTCGGTCGCTAAGGCAAATAGCGACCGATTTTGGTGGTCATTAAATGCAATTTTTTTTGTAGTGTAATTTTTTATAGTGTAATTTATTAGAAGGTCAATCGTGTTTAGGAAGCAAATAAATTGTTAGAATTGTGTTTCAAACAAAAGGTAATTGAATTTTTGTTTTACCTTAAACCCTTTTGTACTCTTATTTTTTATGCGTTATTGCTTTAACATGATACAATCATGAATTTCTGTCTATATTGAGTGTGCTAATGCTATATACTTTGCAAAAAGATGAGGCACTTGGTTTGCCTCCCTGTAAATGTATTTCCAGCTGATGTGAGCATTAGAGGTAGTCAAAAACATTTAGATTAGTTTGGGAATGTATATGTTGAGCCCATTGTGATTAACACTCATTAAGTCATTTATTTGCTTTCTGGATAAAGTATATATCATCAAATTAAATTTAGAAATTTATTCCCATTCAAAATGGAGATAGAAAGGAGATTATAAAATGTTTGAAGAATTCCAAATTTCCATTGCCATCTAATTATATTTATTTATAAATCGCGCAACGTGCGAGCCTACATTTAGTTTATATTAATTATGTAAACTATTTTGCGAATTTTTAATTAGGTTGGACATGCTTCAAGTGGATGCGATTGTGAATGGATTGACTATATCCGGACATGGAGCCATATGCAGTAGAATGAATGAAAAATGATTATAAAGCCGCTACTATAAAACCTAATGCCTACTTGATGTATCACTATGTATTTGAAAATTATTACCTAATTGTGTATAAATATTATTAATTTATTTTTGTAACATATTATTAAATGTTATATACAGTCCATATTATTAAAGACTTTTAATAATATTTTTACACAATTAGACAATATTTTTCAAATGATATCAAAGTGGTATTTTTGTAACATTTTAATGATGTTGTAAAGTTTTTATTAATTTTATAAAATGATAATTAGTTTTAATTTAGATATTATTATCAATTATTATATTTTTTATATCTCTTAAACTCCTAGGAGTTATTTAAGAGAAAGTTGAAGACATTCTTAATTAGTCACTACTAATTATATATCAAATATTAAAGTTCATTTATCTTTAAGTATAATTATATAATTATATATACTCTTTATAAGTAATTTATTTATTCGATATGTGACTTTAATTATGGATAACAATTAGAGATGAGAGAAAATTTTTTTTTTTTACTCAATGTGAGACATTGATTTTAGAAGCAATTAAAAAGAATAATGTTGAGATAAAAAAAAAATGTTACTTATCTATACGAATATTTTTCAAAAAAATGTTACAAAATAATGTGTAATATTTTTTACTCAATGAAACTTTGATTTTGAAAATAATTGAAAAAAATAATGTTGAAATAAAAAATGTTACTCTATCTATAATGACATTTTTTTAAAAAAATATTATAAAATAATCTATTTATTTAATATATAGTTACATTGTAACAAAAGTAAGAACAAAAATATTGTTAAAAAATTAAAATGTAGTAGTGGTCATTTGGAAGGGATACATGTTTTGTTGAACACTTTCATATAGACACATCATGAAGTTTCAACGACAAATTACGCCTTCAACTAAGTGTCACTCATCATTTAACAAATCGTTCTCCTTCAACAAGATATTGTGCCTCATTCTTCAAATCCATGCAAAAACATGCATTTGAACTTTGATATGTACAGAAGCTGTACATTGAAGAATCTGGTTAACCAAAAACAATGTGCATATCTAATCACCTCCCTCATGATGTCTCTTCTCAAAGGAAAATTCTGAGGAGCTAACTCTGATTTCAAGTTGAGAGCTGACAGGCAATTCTGAAGTTGTGCCTGGTTCAAAAACTTGCATCTGGGTCTCATTAGATGCTACTGCATGGTTGCTTGGGGAAGGTGAGCCTTCAAGATCCCATTGTTCATTTTCATAGTTGGATGCCCTTGGAGATGTTTGTGCACTGTCACTTCTACCAGCAAGGTGTCTCTGTAGCAGATGAATAGGAGACATACCATGTGTTGGAGTTGATGTCCTGCTTGAGAATGGTGTGGTTTGCTTACTGTTTTTTATTTGCTTTTTGGCAGTGTTGTGCCAGTTCTTCAGTGCTGATGCTACTCTCTGATTGAAAATTGTAGGCTTCATGGTTGAACCCATCTGCAAAACATAATCAAATCAGTCACTGATTGATTGATTATATAGAGCATGTTTGAATAAATTTCTTCAGAAACATTTTGATAAGATCCAAACTTATACGAGAAGAAAATAGAATGAAGAAAAGAAAATAGTTTCCCTATAAGCTAATATGAGAGAACTTTTATAAATTTGCTTATATGGAGAAACCAATTTCATCTTTGCTTCTTATTTTCCTCTCTTATAAATGTTTCCGGAAAAATTTATTAAAACAGACTCATAGATTAGTGCAAGAAAATTATGCTTAGGATGGATTTTCCAGCAAGTGAGACCTGTGTCACTAGAGCATACAGAGGCAAAGTCACATAGCTGCATAAAACTTGTATGATAATCCTGAAAATTAAAATGGTCACTTCTTTGTAAGTTATATATATGATGAACTGATGGTTGTTGTATATATTGGCATGTGCACTATTTTTAACAGAAATGAACTTACCCCATTGCAAGTCTTATGACAATATCTACAGTTGTTTCATGGAAGCAAGAGTCTATGGAGAATTCATACTGAAAAAGAAATTAGGAAGAAGTTAAGAAAAATCTTGCATCACTTTCTAATTCTTTTTAAGAGGTTTATATAAAAGATTTTTAATATGATTAGGAAGATGTTTCAAATACCAAATACCACACGAGTTACTAGACATGCCTTTTGAATCAAAATATATAGAGAGAGGAACGGTCCGTTTATTCTAGAAACAAGTATATCTAGATTTACTTCATTCAATAATTCAAGTTTTACATTAAATTTCAACGATCCAAACGTTAAATTTAAAATTCTTAATGTATAGATCAAATCTGCAACTTTTTAAAATATTTGAAAACCATTTGATACTTTGTTTCATTAATTCAAATCAATATATAAAATAATTTTATGATTATTCATCAATTTGAATTAATGAAATGAAGTATCAAATAATTTTCAAAGTTTCTAAAAATTTGCAAACTTGTGTTACCAAAATTTGAAGTTGTCTTTATCACTTTGATTATTCAATAATTTTCACAAGCACAAATCTCACCTTTAACTAATTATGTGTTGTTACTGTTTTAGCTTTTAAGAAGCAAGTTGGCTTTTCAGTTGAGCTAGAGATATTAATCAAATAAGCTAGTAAATATACATCTCAATGAGTTAGGCATCGTAGTGTTTATTTTTGACATGGTATCAAATTTCTTCACTTAAACTAAGTTGAATTTTGGTTCCCAAATTAAAATCAAATTGAAGCATAGGTTTTCGATATTAGTTTTCATGTGATTTGACAAGTTGAAAATACTGACTCAATTAATCTAGGTGAACAACTTATATATCCATGACGTTTGTTTAATGACTTCTAACTGGTAAAGATCATCATTCTACTTCAATCAAGTTATTTCATAGCAGTGAATCAACATGAATAGCATGTATGTACATCACCATAATAATAAGCATTGCTACAAAATTCTTCAATGTTATGACTTATGGTAATAATCAATACGAGCCATTAAGGTACAAACTAGGAAAACTTGATCAAGATAGAAAAACTTACAGTACTCCAAGAAAAGAATGCCAGTTGAAAAGCATTCTGCAAAACAGAAGCAAACATAATTATTTTGTGAGCACAAGAAATATTAAGAAAGTTGATTTATACAAAACTCAATCTTATAAAATCAACTGGTAAGATAAAAATTGCATTTCACTTATATACACTATTATGATCATATTATTGATCGATGTTGGGTATCTAATAAGAAGTCTTGAGAAGACAATCTAAAGAAAAGAAAGTGAAAATACCTGAAAGAGCACAAGATGAATCAAGAAGAGGAGGAGGCGTGGACGGTTAAACCAGAACAGGTCATCTCCTGGCTCAACCACAGGTGCACCTTTCACAACTTCCCCTCTGTCTGCAATCCTCAGTCCCATCTTTGTTATGATCATTTGTAGCTTAGCACCAACTAATAAGATTATCTACGAAATTTACAGTAAATGATATAATAAGTAATTTATACCATTGCATCAAGAAATGAAATGTAGACAAAATGAGTGTATATATATGTACTTACAATTAATGGCATAAATGGAAGCCAATAATAAGAGTACCACCCTGTCCACACAGAGCCAAAATTTTAAACCAAGAAAAGTGGGGAAAACAGGAACTTTAGAATTTATATTTTCTGTCCAAATAAGCTGCATTATATTGCTGGTCCAGAAGTACAAGAGCAAGTACGAAGTAAGAGAAGGCATGCTAAACTAAGTGAAACTACACTCTGTAAAAATGTATTTAATTACCCAAAAATTTCTTTGATGATACCAAAAATATCTTTCCTTTCTCAATTGAATTCTAACTTTCGAAACTATAGATTAATTTGGTCCCTGACATCAGTATGTGATAATTATTTTGACCCCCCCCCCCTCCCCCTTAAACGGTGGTAATATTCAAGGACTAATTGATATTTTTTTAAAAGATAAATGTTAATAACACCCTTTTTTGCCCCCCCCCCCCCTCCCCCATAAACGGTGGTAATATTCAAGGACTAATTGATATTTTTTTAAAAGATAAATGTTAATAACACCCTCTTTAATACTTTTTTACTAATTTACTATGGTTGAAAATTACAATTCTACTGAATCCCACCACTAAATGATAGTCCCAACTTAAAAAAATTATGATTTTCAATAAAAAAAAAAATTTAAATGTTAGAAATAGAGTATTAAAAAAAAAGAAATAATACTGCTGCCCATTTAAGTAACTAAAATGCCTTCTTGCATAACCTTAACAATCAATTCTTTTCACCGTGCCATACGTTTTAATATAAAATGTAGTACTGAAATTAATTTGACCACACATTTAATTACATTGAACTGGGAAAAATTGTTTTCTAAAATCAATTCAACCTATCGCAAAACAAACAGAACTTAAATTGATTGATGATTGTTAAAGTTAAACATTGTATTAAATTTGCTTCTTTGTAATATTGAGGGCCAAATTGAGTGACGTTGGCGATTCAATGGACCAAATTAAAGTTTTACTTTATTCAAATAAATTTGAAAAATTGAATACTGCTTACCATGAGTATTAGTCAACAGGAATAGCACCGCAAAGAACCATATGATTGGGCTGCAAGATACACAACGGTTGATCTTAAATCGATGTGTTATAAGTTAACTAATGAAAGCAAAGCAACAGATAGAACAGATAGAATATAGAGTCTGTTTGAGTAAATTTTTCTAAAAATTACTTTTAGGAGAAAATTCTAAGAAGAAAAAATAAAAATATACTTTTTGATAAACCAAAATTAACTTATAAATAAGTTAAATGTAGAAGTTCTCTTATTAGTTTCTCCAAATTTTTATTTTTTAACTCGTATATAAACTAGTTTTAATTTATGACAAAATTTATTTTAGTTTTTCTTTTATTTTTTCTTTTAAAAGTAATTATAGATAAGTTTAAACATGCTCGTATCCACATTCCATACCTTATTCCCACTACAACTTTAAAATCTTCCTCAAGTGATCTCTGGATATACTTCTGAAAATCAAATCTTGCATCACTTCCTGGTGCCAGATGCGCCTGAAAAGTAAAATCACATGTATCTCAGTCTTTCAATTATCAAATGTCCCAAAGAATCTAAGTCAATTTTTTAAACATATATACTCACAGTGATAAATCCATGGCGTAATGTTAAATAGTCAACTTTATTGACAGATCCAATGAATTGTCGAAAGAAACTAACCTGATTCAGCAGCGTAAAAGTCATTAGTCAAAAACTTTGAAATTTATCTATTTGTGTCTTTACCCTGAGACTAATTAAACACTTGAAATTCAAAATAACTCAATTAAGGAATTTTAGCATGTTTCTTTCATGCCTAATAATTGTGTCCTTAGTCCTTACTATAGCCAAGGAAAATGCTGACTGACTCCAAGAGTTCAAGTGCCTTCTTCCAAATGTCGTATCCCTTGCAAACCTGAACCTCTCAGGATCTGCAATATACACATTTACAAATTATATAGCATAGTCAAATATGGCACATAAATGGCTGAAAGCCAAAAAAAGAAAAACATGTTCCATACGATATAACTAGAAGAAGTATATGGAATGAGTTGCTACGATCGAGTTTTTGTGAATTACATCAATCTTGAAGTAAACTATTATATTGTCTTTGATTTAAATTTGTTATTAATAAATTTTAAGAATTTATTACCACTTAGGAAGCACATGTATGGTACAGGATACTGATGCGATACAACGCTAACATATGAATACAACAAATTTAAACAATAGTAACACAGGACAAGGTTCGCATATAAGAAAAAATACATTATATATGGACAATGTAAAACAATTTTATATTCATAATATAAAATAGTTTTCCACTATCATCAAACTGCAAATTATCTTGAATGGTAATTTTGTTTTTTTGTTTTTTTTTACAATAATTACCTTAAATTCATATATATAAACAATGATTTTTGATCAGTACTTGATAATGTAAAAAAAAAAATTTACTAATAAGACAAATCATTACACACAAGATATAATATACCAAATTAATATGAAATTAACATGAAATAAATTTTAAATCACAAGAGAAAATTCATATTTTAATAAAGTGTGAAGCATATATACAAAGACATAATTATAGATCAAGACATTCCAACAATATTGACATCCCAAAAACTATCAAAATGAGCATAAGTTATTATAAAAATAATAAAGCATTAAGTTTATCTCTAAAGGATTTAAAAAAAAAAAAAAAGTAAATATCATTGACAGAAGAAGAAGAAGAAAAAGATGCAATTAAATATATTTTAATTGTGTATACAGTATTTGACGGGAATACATAGTTGATGTGATTAGGACACGACCATTATTTAAAAGTATTGATTTTTCTTTGACAATAAGTTTATAAAAAGATAAGCGCATGTCATTGTTTACATTTAACAAAAAATTAGTTTAGTTATCCTACGAATATATGCGATTTATACGTGCGCAGACAACTGTTTTACTCTCATGCATGTATTTACCTTTTGTCATCGATTAAAAAGTCTCGTATCAATAAAATAAAATATGAGTTTATTTTACAAACTCATATTTTTCCTCTTTTTAATTTATAACCCACCACTGATTAACCTCAACTATCAAATATCGAAAACTTCAAGTACGTAAAAAAACACTATCGATAAAATTTAAATAGAAAAATATGAAAGTAATTAAAAAAAATTACATTTAAAGCGCATTTTCATATTACCGCTATTGTTGATTGTATTTTAAGTTAGTTTCACTATTATAGTGGGTATCGTAGAATTTTCTACCTATTATGGTATTCATGATAATCGAAAGATTTTAGTACATCAAAATATATGAACAAATAAATTTAAAAGAAATAAATTTAAAATAACATAAATTTTAGATTAAAAATTTATAGAAGATGAATCTATCAAAAAGACTAATTCAAAAAAAATAATTAAAAAATCAATTTTCATAACAAATTTTATTTATATGTGATACAATTAAAAAAATAAAAACAAAAAATATAATAACATTATAAAAATATTAAAATAAGAAAGAAAAATAATAAATAATACAACTGAAAAACTAATTTATACTATAAATTCAAAATATTAACACAAAAAAAAGCTAAAACATTTTAAAAAAATATTAATATTAAACTATTTAATTATAATAAATTCTATATTAAATTAAAATTTAAAAATATAAAAAATAATATAAAAATATAGAAAATTTTGTAAAATAAATTATTAAAAATATTAAATTAAAATAAAAATAAAATAAATAATTATAATAAAAAAATTAAACGACTGTACCGGTACCTCACTGTTATAGTGAATATCGTAAAATTTTCCAAGAATAAATTGGAGATACTTAACGAAAAATAGGTATTAACAACAATAATATTGTCTTTTCATCCAAATCAATAAAAAAAATTCAAGACTACAGAGTGTTCCACCTAAAAGTCATACCAAATCTTTAATATATATATATATATATATATATATATATATATATTGCATACGCAGGGAGCACGGAATTATTAGGCACGTACGTACATGAGAAATGCCGCGTAACACAAAATTGTTTTAATTAATGGAGGCAAGAAAATTTGAAGTCTTACTTACCATTATAAAATTGATATTCAATGGTTTTCGTTTCATTTTCCCATGCCCTCCATTTTCTCATCTGCATAATTCAACCAGATAGAGGAAGAGAGAACATTCCACACACGTAAGTTCTGAAAGTATATATATATATATATATATATATGGGCTTTGAAGGATCTGTTGAGGTCAAATTAAGGGGGAGGACTAAGTAGTACGTACCTTGGTTCTTCCCAAAGTCAGTGTCACAATGCATTGTAAGATATGGAAAATAGCTAGCACAAAGATAAACATATGGAGCTGGTGAATCCCATATGCTGAAACAAAAGCCACTTTTCCCTGCAAAATTATGCAAAATCACCCATCAAAACCTTCTACAACAATTTTGGATCACCTTTGTCGTCATTCTCTGGTGACGGAAAAACATTATCGGATAGTATAAATCATGTGATTTTTAACTGGTCTCTATATAACATATAATTAAGTGTTATTAAATTTTTCTTGTAAGTTGAAAAACTTAAATACATACATATAATGATTAGATAAGATTATTAACACTTTAATCTTATATTATCTAATAATTTCTTCTAAAGACATGATATCATTTTAATACAATTACACAACAGATAATTTTCAAGTTTCTTAGTCTTCTTTTTAATATTAGGTCGGTTTGCATAATATTTTTTTTTTTAAAAGTACTTCTTAGAGAGATGAATAAAAAAAATAATTAAAATAATTTTTTTCACAAGTTAAAACTAACTTACGTATAAGTTGAAAATAAGGTTTTGGAAGAGTTAATAGAATTTTTTTTATAAATTAGCATATATATATAACCCAATTTCAGGTTATAAAAAAAAATTTATTTTTCTTCATATTTTTTGATCTTATAAATATTTATGAAAAAATTTACTCAAAAACACCCATTGTCTATAACACCATTAACTAGTTTTAAAATTACCCTTACACCGTGTTACACTAAATTCCTTATTATACATATTTCTTTATTTTCTACCGTGAAAGAGAAACATTGTCCTATATATGATATATATAGATATAGGTTATTGTTCTTTAAATGCAAATGGAAACAACAGTGAAGATGGTGAACTTGCCTTTGCAAAGCATTTGTCATATCCTTTTGTAGCCAGAACACGCCTTGGTATGGTTTCATAATAATATTGGAGGAGTTTCCTAGAATTGATCTCAACGTCATCATCACCAGATTCATCCTCACCAGATTTATCCTCAGTTGTACCAAATGGTTTTGGGTTGGCACAAGGATGCCAACTAGATGCAACCTTTGGGGACACACAGATCTTCGAAATTGGATCTTGCAACACAGTTAGCATCAAGGATATGAATCCTAGCACCATAAGCTCTGAACACAAAAATTTAAAACCAAATTTGTTTAATTATTAGACTCAAACACACCTTGCAAATTCAGCAACAACTATTACAATAGAATTCAACCTACCTCCTTTAACCTTTTCCAACGCTTCAAAAAGAGCATTCTTGTTTTTCCTTTTGAACCACTGCAATTAGAATAATCAAATCCCAAGAGCTATTAGAAATATAATTATAGAATAAACTCGCTTTAGGGTGGGCCAAGTTTTAAATAATTTGCATGAGATTTTGAATTCTAACTTCGTACCAATGAATAAATAAATGACATGATGATTATTTATATTATACTATATATAAGATGGTTAATTAATTATATAAGAACTTATATTATTATATTTTGAGTAACATAAACCTTTCCTAACTTACCTTTCCGATCGCATGAATAATATGTTCTAAGAGGATTGAAATAGCAAGCAACACAAAACACACGACTGCAACAGCCCATGTTGGTGTTTCCTCTAGTGTTCGTTCATAAACTCGCTTTTCTTCGACCATGTCTAATTTTTTTCTCAATTTGTTGCAAGACACAGAGAAGGGTATAATCAGAGATTCGGAAGGCTGTGTAGCTATAGGATATAGAAAGAGAACTATGTTTAATCCAAAATAAAATTGGGAGCTTCTATGCAATTGAAGAGTGCTTTTGCACTTTGCTATGTATTGATTTATATGTAAGGAGTTATATGACAATGTAAGAGATAAGCGTGTTGGAGTATCTAAGGAAAACATATGAACGAAATAACACGTCACACAACATGTTAAATGACGTTAGACATGTTCAAACTTCAAAACGATGATTAGTCAAAGAAAGAGAGCAGAACTGAAGAAGGGTGCAGAGTATTCGAAGGTCAGCAATTTATTTAAATATTAGAAGAAAATGGTAAGAGATAAATTGTGAGAAACATAATGATATATATATTCATGTATTTATTTATATGGAACTTTTTATTTATTTTATTTTAAGATCATGTATGATTGGACTGCAAGTTACAAAACCGTTGAACTTAAATGAGGTCATGCCAAGAAATCACGCGTTCTCACGATTAATGTTAGTCCTACTTTAATATGATTTATCGATTTATATTTTATTCTTTAACTATTATTAATTAAAATTTAATGATTTCATTTCAACACATGACTCTATAGTAATCTTTGAATAAATTTAAAAATTAATCATTGTTGTTTGTAATTAGAATCAAAGAATAATCAATTTGTTGTTAATTATATTTAGAATTAGAGGTATTATTTTGAAAATAACATTGATTACTAATATTAGTAATATTTTATAGGATTAAATATAATTTTACTCCTTTAACTTTTGTTGACTTTATTTTTAATCTCAAAATAAATTTTATTTGATTTTAGTACTGAAATTTTTTTTACACAAACAAAATAATTTGATCCCAAGAACCAAAATATTAATGGTAGAATTCAAAGACTAAAAAGTGAAAATTGACTAAAGTTCAGTCATTAAAAATAGGAAAAAAATATTCATAGATTAAAGAAAAAATTTACAAAAGTTTAGAGGTTATAAACATATTTAATCCTATTTGATAATCATGACATACATTAAGAAAAATATTTTTTAATATAGTTTAATTATAAGAACAAGGTGCCACTATCTTTTGCTAGTATTTTTAAGTATAAGAAAAAAAATTAAAGAGAACAATGAGAGAAGAAAAAGATGAGAAGAGAGAGAAAAATATTGGAGTATGTAGAGTGATGAGAAAAGAAAAGAGAACGATGAGTTTAGATGCAAGAACATTATCATATCTTCATTATCACTTAATGAATTCTTTTGATTGTCAAAAAGTAAATCATCTAAAGAAATGTAGGATACTTTGCAATTTACACATGAAGAAATTAGTGATGCTAAGAGATTGAGGAAGCACACACTAGTTAGAAAATATAAATTGTTGCATATAAAGCAATGTGAAAATATCTTTGATTTTCACAAATGTTTTACACACCTTATAAATTTCTTGATTGATCTTGATAGGAAATTTGATAAGGAAGAATTGAATCTTAAAGTGTTGCAATGCTTGGAAAAATCTTGGTAAGATAAGGTGACCATAATTGAGGAGCCAAAGGATTTAACATCAATGACTCTAGCAACCCTTCTTGGCAAGTTGAGGGAGTATGAACAAAAGCTACACATATTTGAGGAAAATGAGCAACAAGACAAGAAAGGAAAAAGAGTTCCATTGAAGGCTTCATCCTCTAGGAGAGGAAAAGAAAAAGCTGAAGAATTAAGCTCTAATGATTCAGATAGAGTATTTCAATCTCATCATAAGGAAGTTCAACAAATTGTTAAGGAGGAAAAAGGTAGCTCAAAACTTCAACAAGAGAAACAACAAGAAAGAAAAAGGAAATGTTTCTCCATATACTTGCTTTGAATGAGGAAAGTAAGGACATATAAAAATTGATTGTCCTATCTATATTTAAAAAACGAAACAACAAGATAGAAAGGGCAAGAAGCAAGTCAAAGGAAAAAAAAAGTCTTATATAGAATGGAAAGATAATGATCCAAGCTATTAAAGTGACTCATCTGAAAATGAAGAAGCAAATTTGTACTTGATGGCTGGAGTGCATCAGGAAAGTATTGTAAATGATTCTTATCTTGAATCTATGGCTGATTATGATCAACTAAAATAAGCTTTTATTCAAGTGCACAAAAAAGTACTAAAAGTAAGAGCTCTCATTAGTAAGCTTAAAAACAAACTAAAATGGTATGAGAGTAATTTGATAAAAGTTGAACAAAAGCTTGAAGATTTAAAATTATAGCATGATGCTCTTGAAACAATTTATAAAATAAATGAATGTTCTTGTGCAAAACCTTCCTCTTTAACAATAGTTGATTGTGAAAGTTGTTTAGCTTTAAAAAAAAGAAAATTTTGGTTTCAAAGCTACACTAGCAAGATTCATAAGTGGAAAAGAAAATTTTAAACATGTTATTGGGAAAGTAAATATATATCTTTGATAGAGATGAAATTGGTTTAAATCAAGTAATAAAAATGTGTTTTATATAAATACCACCAACTTTATTAAGATATATTCTAAGCCATCTATTACATGTTTCTATTGTTGCAAGAGAGGTCATTCCACTAAAAATTGCTATACTAGAAAATATGGCATTCCTTGTGGTAGATATGTTTGGATATTTAAGAGCCAAGGGCTGAGTACTAACATGCAAAGACCCAACACTTAGGTACCTAAATTTGATCTTTGATTTTGTTATAGGAATGTTTGATAGCCAAGAGTCTCATGTGGTATTTGGATAGTGATTTCTCAAAGCATATGACAGGTGACCTATCAAAGTTCTCAAATCTCAAGGTGAAGCATGATGGCTTTGTGACTTATGGGGACAACAACAAAGGCAAAATTCTTGGTTGTGGTAATATTGGTAATACTTCTTTTTCACTAATTGAAAATGTTTTGCTCATTAAAGGACTCAAACATAATTTGTCAAGCATTAGTGAACTGTGTGATAAAGGTTTTAAAGTTTAATTTGTTTGATAATGATTGTTGCATGATTAGTGATAGTTCTACTAATGAAATAAGGTCCAAAGGTAGAAAAATAAAGAACATTTATTAAGTATACCCATACAACTCTCAAATAGTCATTAACAATCGTGAGAAAATAAAATGCACCACAACTAGAACCAACCTTATAATCACCCCAAATATCACAATGAATCAAAGAAAACAGATCATTGGCTTTATGATCATTCAAAGGTGAAGTTAGCGGAAAAACACATAGAAGGGGGGTTGAATATGTGTGTGTGTACGAAAGAATTTTAACACATTTTTCACAAGAGTAATATACTTCCTCTAATGAACTTTTGAATATCAGACGGTTAGGCAGAATTTGATTAACACAAGGTCATTGCATCTGAAGGGTTTATCGTCTACTGAGGAAAATGGTTTATAATAATAATTATTAAAGTTCTTGCATTTTCCTTTTCAAGATAGTTTCGTTTAATGACAAGCAGTAGATAAAGCTTTTTAGTGTAGTATATTTGTTAAACGAAATTGCGTCTTCATTTGAAAAATGGTTTTAACGATATGTAAATATTGGACGAAATCTTTCACAAAGATTTAATCAGTAAAGAAGATTTGTTCCTAGTTAAACAAGAAAAATAATGCAATCATTTTATATTGCTTCACTTAACTGAGCTACGTCCAGTCTCCTTCAACTGAAGGGTTCCACTAGATATCAACATGAAGAACATTGAGTATTATCGTCCACTCCTGGACTTGAGTATTCTTGACCACTCCTAGCCCGCCAGCTTCACTCACCAACGCTAGTATTCTTAAACCACTTCTGGTTCCCCAAGTATTCTCGACCACTCTTGGCCTGTCGGCTTCACTCACCAACACTAATATTCTTAAACCACTTTTGGTTCCACAAGTATTTTCGACCACTCCTCGCCTGCCAGCTTAACTCACCGGCGCTAGTATTCTTTGTTCAGCCACTTTTGGCTCTTAGTGAGTATTCTTTGACAAGTCCCTCCAGACTTTACAGGTATTCTTTTCCTAGCCTCTTCAAGCTTTACACATGATCGATTTGTGCTTTGGCTTGAGTGCATACATAACTCTCACAGAGAGGATTGGAAATTTTCTACACTCTATAAGGTTTGTTACCTTAGTCTTACAAAGACTTGTGTTTGAGTGTTTGGGTTACTCTCATGGAGAGGATACATAGGTTTACAACACTCACTAAGGTTTGTCCATAATTGACATTTCAAAAACCTTAGTCTATAAAGATACAAATACAATATTACATTGTATATATGACTATCAACGCTCATCTCTGAACTCTCTGTCTTGTGGGCTTGATATCACTTTTTTTTCTTTTTAATCAAAAGCCTAGGGCAAAGCCTATGATTATTCCTTTGTTACTTCTTGCCCACTTTTTCGATTTGATGTTATTGCACACTTATAGGCCTATAAAATTTGCCTGTTGCATATGTCCGTTGAAGCTAATATAGTCGTTCATGACTAGTTTGATCCTTTCATTTAAATGCATTTGGTCTTGCAATAAATGTTGCTTCCCGTTCTTAGACATTGCGTGTATTCTTCTCTGTCCTGTTGCCAGCAGTGTTTGACTTTATGTGAGACCTAGAAATTATTTGTCTTTTTCTGGTCATGCAGCAATATAGCTGTTGTCCATTTTTTGAAAAAGTAATGCACTTTTTCTGACACATTCATGCTTTTGCCTTTGCGTGCTTCTCTTTTTCTTTGTTTCTTCTTTTAATGACGCTATTACGTTGAGAACACTTATTTGATCATAGACGATGTTTTGAGTAGTCTTTTGAGACTTGATAAGTGTTTGCGAAGTAGTCTTCGTCTACGTCTATTAATCTCATGCGTTTCACATCTTGTTCTCCATCTGAGTATTTGACGTTGATGCTTTGGCGTCTTATATGGTATGGTCAGCATTACAGACAGACTTGACTTCGTACAGAGTATCTTTTAGTCTGTGCTACTCTTGGCCTTGATGCTTGATTGACTTTCTTCTGACCTTAGACATATGCCTTGTCTGATCTGCGCTTTAGAACAGTTGCACTTGACATGACTTTGTCTGGATATTTTATGATCATCTGGTGCATATTCGTGTTCCATCTATTCATTTTTTGACGCTCAATTTCCTATGTCATTTGCTTCATCTGT